AGATGAGGGGAGAGGAGGAGAAAGAGGGTCAGGGATTGGGAGGAGGGTGGTAGCGTGGTTGTAGGAGGATGCAACCAAAAAGAGGAGAGGGGCGGGGGGGGGGGGGGGGTGGGGGGGGGGGGAAGGACTTGAGTTCCTTCTCTGGAACCTACATAAAAAGCTGTCCATCATCACTGGGAAAACCAACACAGGAGGATCCCTGGGGCTCGCTGGCCAGCCAGCCTAGCCAAATCTGTGAGCTCTAGGTTCAGTGTAGGACCCTGCCTGTCCCCCCAGAGAAGGTGAACTGCACCTGAGGAACACCACCCAAAGCTGTCCTCTGGTCTCCAGGTACAGAGGCACACACAGGATCTCTGAGTTCAAGGCCAGCTCACTGGGAAAACCAACACAGGAGGATCCCTGGGGCTCGCTGGCCAGCCAGCCTAGCCAAATCTGTGAGCTCTAGGTTCAGTGTAGGACCCTGCCTGTCCCCCCAGAGAAGGTGAACTGCACCTGAGGAACACCACCCAAAGCTGTCCTCTGGTCTCCAGGTACAGAGGCACACACAGGATCTCTGAGTTCAAGGCCAGCCTGGTCAACACAGTGAGTTCCAGGCCAAGGAGACCTTGACTCAAAAAAACCTAAATAAACAAGCCAAGCCTGGTAACATCACTTCAGTCCCTGGAACCCACATGATGGAAGAAGAGGACCCTAACCCCAAACTGTTCTTTGACCTCCACAGAGGCATTGTGGTTTCTGGGTGTCCCACCTCCATAAAAATAAATAGAAATTTTGGGGGGATCTTTTGAGACAGGGTCTCCTGTAGCTCCAGTTGGCCTGGAACTCAGTATGTAGACCAGGCTGGCCTTGAATTCACTCTGAGATCCACCTGCCTCTGCCTCTCGAGTGCTGGCATTAAAGGAAAATGCAGTTTTTAAAGAAAAAAAAAAAGGTGGTATGCCAGTTGAGGTGGCCCACACTTTTAGTCCCAGCACTCAGGAAGGGAGAGGCAGGCAAATCTCTGTGAGTTCAAGGCCAACCTGTTCTACATAGGTCAGCCAGGACTACATAGTGAGACCCTTTTGACCACCCCCCCTCCCCGCCCCCATTAGAGCTGTATAAAGGGGGCTGGAGATGGCTCAGCGATTAAGAGAATTGGCTGTTGTGCTCCATAGCTTTAGTGTCAACTTGACACACCTGGGTTGAGGGAGCCTCAGTTGGGGAATTGCCTCTATTGGACTGGCCTGTGGCCATGTCTGAAGGGCATCTTCTTGATGAGTGATGTGGGAGCCCACTAGGGGTAGTGCCATCCCTGGGCAGGTGGGCCTGTGTTGCATAAGAAAGCAGGCTCAGTAGGGGCCAGAGGAGCAAGCCAGTAAGCAACATTCCTCCATGGCCTGTGCTCCAGCTCCTGCTTCCAGGTTTCTGCCCTGAGTTCCTACCTTGGGCTCCCTGATGAATTGCGACCTGGGAGTTGTAAGCTGAATAAACCCTTTCCTCCCCAAGTTGTTATTAGTCAGAGTGTTTTGTCACAGCACTGAAGAAACAGGCTAGGACAGCTGTGTTCAGTTCCCAGCACCGACATGGCAGTTAACAACCTTCCTTAACCCCAGTTCCAGGGGATCTGACACCTTCTGGTCTCCATGGACACTGCATGACAGCAGTGCATGGACATACTTACAGACAAGACACTCTGGCACATTAAAAAAAAAAAAAGCTGGGGATGTGAGCCAATGATTGACCTAGTAACTGGGAGAGAGTGTCAGCGATGGGATAAAACAAAAATAAAACAAAAAGCCGGGTGTGGGGGGACGCAGAAGAACCAATGCTGGGGAAAACCGAGAAGGCTTCTTGGAGGAAGGTGTCTGGAGACTGGGCATTGATGGATGAACAGTTTTACGTTTCCCTGGCTCAGTGCAGAAAAAGCCACACAGGCTTGGAGAGAGCCAAGAAACCTG